GGCAGGGTTTATATTTTTAAATCAGGGTCCCTGATTTCCAGCTTCAGCCGTTTCCAGCATCAGCCGCGACAATTAATTTAACAACTATACTTTGGTTTGTGATTAATGATTATCGCGCAACCCAATTCTATAAACGCCAAGCAAGATTTATTGAATCTTTGGCACGGTATCATAAGGGAAACGTATGGGATAATACAATAATTGTGGTGAAAGGAATCTCGGTTGACCTAAATCAAACAATAGGTCCCGTTGCAGCTGCATCCGAAGTATTTAGGGAACTGAGAACTCAAACTCTTAACGAAAATCCACTAGAAAATGTTGGAATATTTCCTATCTATCTTTTTGAGCAATTAAGAAAAATCGCCATGGAGGTGTATAGAGCATACCAGTGATCAAATCAACGAAGGTGGAATATACAAGGCCTCTGAGCCGGAAAGAATTCTCAAAAGATATGAAATTTTGATGGCTGGTCATAATGAGCATCCGATTATACTATTATATAAAGGTGCAAAATGCGCAAAATGCTCAGAAGAGTCTGATCCACGGCTCGCATCAAGAAGATGCCACGGAAAATTCATTAAGGAACATGAACCACAATTTACAAAAATCCACACAAAGTCGACATGCTTCATACATCCATCCGGCACTTCGACCTACCATCCTAAACAAATAACTTCTATTCACAAAGGAAACTTGATTAAAAAACATTTACTGAAACCAGACAGTTATCATCCTGGAAAAAAAAAGAGATTTCATCCACAAAACCCGTCAAAGAAACACCCAATGGGGACATCATTACGCCATCCAGGAAAACTCGTTAAAGCTCACACCGGTTATATAACTTTTATTCATACATTGGGTTTATCTACATCTCACAGAGGTACACGTGAACTTTATCATCCCGATCCTTTAATGATCCACTCTGGTCATATAAGTCGTAATGTGATTAGCTTTATTAAAAGGCCCGCGTGGTCTTGTTGTGGGCGACAGAAAGGAGGGCAGGGATGTATATACGCTTGTTGTAATACGAACACTAATGGCTGTAAAGAACGTTACACGTGCTGCAATTCATTTGGATGCAAAAAAATATTCGATTGTTGTGGTCAATTATACACTACCAGCTCTAATAGGGGATGCACCCAAGTTTGGAGTTGCTGTAAGAAAGCAATTTCAGATCCAGGATGTACAGACAAATATAATTGTTGTAGGTCGATGGTGCCATGCGAGAGACGGCATGGCTGTTGTAATCAGATTTTTGGCACTGAAGGGTGCACAGAGTTTTTTGAGTGTTGCAATAGTACCGTAAACTCGGGTTGCAAAGCCTTAAACTCGGGATGTCAAGAGCGTTATGACTGCTGTATGTCACTAGAACCATGTTCAATAAAATACGATTGTTGTGGGCAAAAAGTTCCAGCCCAAGGATGGATTGAAATTTATACATGCTGTTTTAGAGGTAAGATTAGTGAAGGATGTAAAGATATATATAAATGTTGTGGTGGATTAGAACCATGTTTTAAACAGCATATTTGTTGTGGAAAGGATGTAGGCACAATTGGATGTAAAATGGTTTATGAATGTTGTAACAAAGATGTTGAATCTCGCGGTTGTGAATATGCACATAAATGTTGTGGGCAAGAGATTGGATCACCGGGATGTACCGATGTTTGCAAAAATTGTAGGAGTAGAAAGGGTACAAAAGGATGCGAAGAGTTTTTCCAACACGACTGGGGGGATTTTATAAACTCATTCATGCCAGATTAAGGAGGTAAAAAAGTTAAATAATTAGACCCAAGACACAATTTGGCTTATTATAGTCAATTTCAAATTAATAGAGAAACTCAACAATTCATGAAATTTTTGCACTTCGGCAAGGGTTTAAAATGCGACAACAAATGAAGTTAGATTAAAACTTGCGTCAGATTAAAACTGGCCTAAATTAGAGTTAGGGTTAGGGTGAGATTAGGATTTAGCAAGGTTGATTGTTGCAGATCATTTTATTGCTGACCTAGTGGTTTTAATCTGGCGCAAGTTTTAATCTGAGACACAACATTTATACTGATTTTATTTTAATCTTGCGCATATACTGAATAATTATTAATAATATATTATCCCTTAAACTGTCAATTTAACTTCAAATCTACTACGATACATACAATTCAATATAATATAGCTTAATCACAGATCAAACATGCAATTTCCAGGCCAATTTGCCTGAAAACAGTTTAAGGGATAGTATAATATTTATTTGGGCTGGCTGCTGTCAATAGAAATCAAGCAGATCTACATTTTTTGCAAAAATGAGTTGTATTACCTATTTAATAGAAAAGTTGTAATAATTATTTTTTACTTATAAAAATTTTAAGATTTGATTATCAAATAAATATTAAATTGATGGTTTCAAAGAATTTTATACAAAATTACAATTCAAATTGTTAAAGCAATTCCTTTTCATTGTTTAATTACTTATTTAAGTGAAAATTTGGATGCACTTTGCTCAAAAACTCAGTGTTGATAATCTGGTCGATAATATCAGTTCGAACAATGCTTGAATATTCACAATCTCATGATTTTTAATGTCCCCAGCACAAAATTATCTTAAAAACCAGGTAACTACTTAACATTATGTGCCTAAAACTAGATTGACAAATAAAAAGTTGCTATTATTAAGAGCTACGCGAAATTTATTGGATAGGATTTAACTATATCAGGAAATTTTTATATATGGTGGATATCGAACTCCCCCAGCGCAACCAACAAAAAACCTCGGGCACGTGAGTGGCTGTGGCTTGTTTTGTGTAACTGGTACGTATA